ACTGTGTGTTATATGCTTGTATGCGTATATATACATTGGGTTCCAAAATAATTTAAAATTCCCAAGAGTTAATAGTAGGCTATTATGTTAAATTGACATATATAGCCAGATTCCTCTAGGGTTATGGCTGTAAAAATGTGTTTCTGGTATAAAAGGTTAAAAAAAAAGGTTTTTATAAAGAATGAATTTTGTGTAGTGAGTTTTTGTCTGAAGATAAAATGGCTATATCAAAACAGGAGGGAAAGGACAAAAACTAGAGGATATAAAGTATGTTGTTATATGTTTAAGTTATGTTACAGAAGTCTAAGAAAGAATTATAGAAATTAATCAAGTTAGTGTTCTAAAGCTGCTTTTGCTATCTTTAAATGTTATATACAGTAAAACAACTAAAAGAGAGAAGCCCCTTTAACTAGTCCAGACAGGGCCTCACATAGTTGTGAAGTTTAGTGAGTCTGTCTCACTAAAGCCAAACAGACTGCTTTCACAGGGCCTTGGTCTGCAAGGATGGGCCAGGAGGGTCCTTTGTGATAGTGCTTCAGACACCAGAGAGCAGCAGCCCTGCTCTAGACACTCCAGAGACCCTAACTTTCCTTTATCTTACAGGATATAATAATTCAGTTTTAGCCACTGCTCCTTCTATTCACCCACCTAAGTTACTTTCAGTTTGCCCAGCCTCAGTAGAATATTCCTGGAATGACAATTACTCACAGTCCGGTTTTCCAAACTGGACCCCCTGTGTTTTTCCTAAATACATGGTTTGTTATTTCTTAAATAATTTTGCCTTCTCTTTGTTTGACAGCTTCCCACATTAATGAATTAACTCAATGTCTCCACTGCCTTGTTTAAATATGAACAATTTAACCAACAACTGGCTGACAGAGTCAATGCCCTAGAAGTGGTTTTATATTTAGGACAAGAAATTCAAAATATTAAGGTTTGGTTGACTACTGCCTGTCACGCTGATTATAAATGGATCTGTGTTACTCCTTTATCTTACAATCACACACAAATTACCTGGGAACAAATCCAGTCTCACCTCAGAAGGGCCTTCAACCACTCTCTCACCATAGACTTACAGAAATTGCAGGCTGACATTACAAAAATTTCCAAATCCCATTTGGACTCCGTAACACCCTCTGATGTGGCCAATGGTATCGTGTCCTCCTTATTTGGTGCATTCTCCAATTCCAAACACTCATTCTCTATGTTACTTTATTCGGTTGGAGGTCTTTTTGGGTTTATCTTCCTCTGTTTGTTATGCTTTCCAGTTATTCTCAAACAATTCCATTCTGCCATTACATCAATACAAACTGAAATTCACCTCTTCAAACTTCAAAATAAAAAAGGGGGAGATGGAGGAGTCCAACCCGGCGAGGCTCCAGGACCTGTCTGAGCCTCTTGACCTTTGAGCATTGCTTCCGGTTGGTTCAGTGAGGTCGCAAGGCCGCGACTGTATGCCCCTGACCATGGAACAAGCTTGGGTCACTTAGCATGTTGGCAAGGCCGTCTGCTATTTGCTCCGGGACTGCGATAGCCTTGCTGGGAAGTGACCCCCCTCTGGCTCCCCGATATATTACTATAAAAGAATTACATAGTTTTCCCATATATATTTGTAGCAAGATTTCCCCCAAATTCCCCGACCGCTCCCCTTTACCCTGACCATTTACTGTTAA